CTGGCCTGCCCGCCTGATCCGCTGAGACGATTAGAGGGCCCGGCCCCGGCCCCACGCCCCACGTCGTGGGGGCTGCCCCACGAGGCCCACGTGCCCCCAGCCCCCTCCTGTGCCCAGCCCCACCACCGGCACCCACTGGCACCACACAGGCCTGGAGGGGAGGCCGGGCCGGTGGTGGGTTGAGCAAGGCGGGAAGTGAGGCAATGCCACCACCAGCCCTTCCATGACCAGGGCAGCCATGTCCCGGGCAGCCCCGTCCGCAGCACAGACCCAAAACCCCCTGAGTGGGGATGGGACGGGGAGCAGGGGAGCCCCGGGTCAGCGGGGGCTAGCCAGAGCCCAGCTGCCTGCTCCCCTGTGCCAGTGCTGCTGGCAGGACTGTGCCTCCTCACACCACGTCACCCGGGCTGGGGACGGTCCGGCAGCGGTAGTACCGGGAGCGGGTCCCTGATGTGGGATCAGCACACACACACACGTGCTGCGCACATTTGTGCCCACAGACGGAGGTGAGACTGACGGTCACCACCATGCCACGTCTGGTCAGGAACTGGAGCCACATCTGCAGTCCCGGCCCCCCCTGTGCACCGCCTGGCTGACACCGCCATGACAGAGAACACGCCGTGTCCCTTGCTGTCTTCCCGCTGGCAGCCACCCCCCCAGGAACTCCTTGTGCCCAATTTCCATGCAAAATTGCAGCAGTGTGAGCCTGGCACAGGTCAGGCTGTGCCCATCGTGCCGGGCAGACGTGCCCCACACTCCCCAGCCTGCCCGGCACGGCGAGGCTGTGCCCCGATCCCGCAGAAGGGGGAAGCGAGGGGCCCCAGCCACACAACCCCCCCACCCCACAGCCCAGCTCAGGGATGGCGACGGCTGCCCCAGGGGGGCTCTGTGCCCCCCAGGCCTGTCCCCCCATTCTCCCGCTGCCATCTCTGCCCGCTGCGAGGTGATGCTGCACCAGCTCCTCGACCGGGGCTGGGTACACCAGCACGGGCCACCCTGCCCTGCCCGGGGTGCTCTCCGGAGCCTGTCCCACTGCAGCGTGGGGTCCTGGAGCACCCGAGCAGGGGAGGCACACAGCCACGGTGCTCAGCTACCATGGGGTGACACTCGCTGCCCGCAGCCCAGCAGGACGGGCTCCCCCCGCCACCCGCTGCCGTCGGGAGCATGGCCCGCAGATGCATGGCCTGCAGATGCTGCCCAGGCACGGAGCCACGGCCAGCACCCACCGTGGCTCCTCGGCCATGGCTGGCCCCCCCAGGCCCGCGCTGCAGCGGCAGAGGGGAGCAGAGCCCCGTCCCCACATGCCACACAGGCCCACTGTCTGCACAGACCCTCACTGCGGCAGGGACTGCCTGGACCCCGGGCTCCCGCTGGGATGGCTTCCTCTGGCACACGCCAGTGGAAGGGAGAGGATGATCTGGCACAGCTGCGCTCACCCTGCTGCTCCTCGGGGCACTCGTGTCCCACATTTGGGAACCACAAGCCAGCCCTGGCAGAGCTGCCCCGGCACCGGCACCGCCCCTGGGGCTGCACCAGCACCCGCTCCTCCACAGACAGCACCCCGAGGCAGAGCTGCGTCTGCACCCTGATGGTGTACCACCGGGCAGCTCCGGCACACACCGCCAACACCCACGGTGGCTGTGCACCGGCCTCCCACCTGCACGGGCAGGGCATGAGCCCCAGCTCCCTGCACCCCGAAATGGAGAGCAGTGCCGAGGGGGGAGGCCCAGCAGCATGCTCCAGCTCCCCTGCCCACCCCTGAGGACCTGAGGGCAGGAGACCACCCAGAGCCCCCAGCAGCCCCTCGCTTCCCGGGCAGCACCCGCGCCCCACGCCCAAGGGCCGGAGGCTGCTGAAGGTGGGGGGCTCATGGGCAGGCGGTGCAGCCACCCCCCTCCCCCCCTCACAGCCAGGGAAGCCAGTGCCGGCCCCCACCTGGCTCCATGGGGTCCACATGGCACAGGCCAGCTGCCTCTGCTGCCCTGCTCCCTCCTGCCCAGCTCACCTGGCTGCTCCGGGAGACCCTCAGGAGATCCCGCCACCCCGAGCGCCTCCCGGATGCCCACCTGGGGGCCCACACACCCCCCATCGCCGCAGCCCGC